CTCTTGCTATGTTGCCCAGGCTGGTCCTGAACTTCTGGCCTCAAGTGATCCTCCCGCCTCCGCTTCCCAAAGCTCTGGGATTACGGGCGTCAGCCACCAAGCCCGGCCCCCATTATATTTTTAATTTCTATGAGTGCTTTCAAATTTCTTGCTTGCTTCTTTTTATTATAAAAGCATCTTCATATTCTTGTTTTATGGATGCAGTATCTCCTATCTGAATAAATTAATTGTTTTTTGGTGTTTCATTCCAGTTCCCATATTATCTTCAGATTAATTCTCATTGTTTGATATCCCTCTGTCTTTCATGTTGGAGGCTCTCCTCAAATGTCTGGTGACCCTTGATGGTCAGTTCATATCTAGAGCCCTGTATGCTGGCTGGAAGCTGGGTGTGTACACAGGGTAGCTGCTGACTAGGAGGCTTTATTCAGAGCGGCCACAGGACAGCACAACAGTAACCAGAGGTTCCTGGGTTTCTCCAGAGAAGTTTCTAATTTTCTACCATTGGTTGGAGGGGAGAGGCGACCATCAGGTGGGCAGCTTCCTTCTTCAAGAAGGGGGCTGGGAATCTACACTTCAGAGCTAACTTTCACTGAATTCTTCAGTTTTCAGCTCTGAGTTTTACCCCCTCCATGCCTGGCCACTGTTTCCCAGTCCAGAGCTCCTCGGATTCAATATACCCTCAGGTTCAATCTCTGGTCCGCCAAACAGAGGGAAGTACTGGTAGTGGTGGCTGGGGCAGGAAAGGGAACCCAGGAGTCCAACCGCCTGGCACACTAGACTCCTATTCCAGCCCTGTGTGCCTTCCTCTGTCCCCACCTTCTGTGGACCTGGTCCTCAGCCTTTGTGGTCCCCTGGGGTGAATGGCTCAGTTCCCTCATCAGTTCTCCTCTCTGTAGGTTCTGTTAAGTCAGTGGCCACTCCTCTGTCCATTACCCATTTTGCAGAATTTCTTTTCTAGGCCTTTTGTCAACTGATGTTTCCCTTTCAGGTTTCTGTGCACTATAGATTTACAGTTTTTGTTTTTAATTACTTTGCCATCATTTTAATGTGATCTCAAAAGGAAGAAAAAGAACACACAAGGTAAATCTGCCACATTCAAGTGGAAGTCTGCTCACCATGTATGACTGCAGGCAGTCAGCTGCTTTGAGCCTATTCACAACCAGTCGCCAAGAAGCTCCAAAGCCAGCTGACTCCCCCATCGTCCTCTCTGCAGGATGGCAAAGCTTCAGTGCCTGACTACTGGGTACCTGCAGCCACAGCTGCTACTTCTGTCGTCTCTTCTCAATTCCTTTGTCTTGGGGTTTTATTTGTTAAGCTTTTTATTTTGAAATAGTTTAAGACTCACAAGTTATAAAAATAATACAGGGAGTTCCCATACATGCCTCATCCAATGATATCTTCTATAAACATGCAACCTCCTTAGAGCCACACCCTCCCCACCAATCCTAACCTCTGAGCTCAATCTATAATTCTGCCATTGTGAAAATGTTATATAAATGGAATCACACAGTATATGACTTTTTGAGGTTGGCATTTTCACTCAACACAATGTCCTTAAAAGATATATCCAAGTTATTGGGTGTATCAATAATTTATTCCATGGTATGGATTATCAGTTTGTTTATCCGCTTACTTATTGAAGAACATATGGGTTGTTTCCAGTGTTTGGCTACTCTAAATAAAGCTGATATGAACAATCACATTCAGGTTGCTGTGTGAACATAAGTTTTCCTATTTTTAGGATAAGTATGTAGGAGTTCACCTGCAATGTCACATGGTAGGTATATGTTTAACTTTATAAGAAACTGCTAAACTTTTTTCCAGAGTGGCTGTACCATTTTACATTCCCATCAGCAATCTAGGAGATTCCAATAATTTTTAAAATCTAATAATTTCATTAGAAAATGGCTGCTTTCTAATAAAGAAAGATATCTTTTTATAAATTCTTATCATATTCTTATGAGGCTGAGTGCAGACAGTAAAAACATATAATAGAACTAATATAGAGGTAACCCTGCTCCAAAGCATGTAAGCAGTCACAGAAAGAAGTCCA